TGGCATCCTACTATTTACAACTAATCGTTTTTATATACAAAGAGGTATGAGAAATTCCATAATAATTTGTGGGAAAAAATTTATCACCTCATTGCTTACACTAACGGCCTTCCAGGGTGCCTAAAACGTTAATTTGTTATTGCATAAAACTTCAATTGTGAAACTTTTGGAAAGACTATCCCATAAAATGTACTTTGTGAATGTCTTGAAATTTACGAAAACTCTAATTTCTAGTTTTTTGTAAAAATCTTTTTAGATGAGAATCTCGCTCGGAGATTGTTACACGCCATCAAATCGCGATTTGTCATTGCGGTTTCTCATTCTTATGGATACCCACAAAACCTGCCACCCCGGTCAACTGCGGTTTTGCGTAATCAGCCAGCCAGAACGTCAAAAACGATCGCAGCGACCTTCAGGTTTTCCTGTTCAGCGTTTCTTGAAATCGCCAACAATTTTTAATAATAATTTATGACTAGACAATTGATAGAGATGGCGTTTTCACGTTATCGCGACAAGCCGGTTATTAATCGTGCCACGCCCGGTTTCCCCTCCGATGAATGAAGTGAAGTAGTGGAAAGCTTATGAAATGAAAGCTTATGACAATCCATGCCGAGGGAGTGAAATCAATTGGTGCCCGCTGAGGGTGAAAATCGATGGGATGGTCGAATAAAGGGGGGGGGGGTGGCGAATCAACGCACTTCTAGTACCATAATTGGAACTAAATTATTTAAAAAACAAAAAATGCAAAAATAAAGCAAAGTATATGCATATGTTGGCTGCATTTTTTATATACGATTTATGACATATTAACAACTAATTGGTTGCAAAGGAGCATGCAATTTCTTCAGATATTTCTTTCAGGATCAATACTGTCCTTAGAAGAGAAAAGGATGTACGGGTTAATAAGAAATGTCACAATATTATTATTATTTTTTAATTTGTAAACTTTAAATTGACAACTGTATTTTTATTTGCAAATTTAATTCGTTTATTAAGCACAATATGTATATAGACAAGCGTCCGGTGTGCCCTTTGATATCTGCGCAAAATTTTCCCCGGTGCTGAACTTTTGAATCAGGCTAGTTTTCCTGTCTGGATAGGGCAGAGCACGTGGTGAAGGGCGTCGACCTTCCAGGATTTCTCCCGTGACGTCAGGGGATCGATCCAGTGACGAGCCCCGACCTTTCGCACGCCCACTTTTGCCTTCTACCTTTTGGAAAATGTGCTCGGATTGACGCCATCTCGAACCGTCCCAAGGGCATAGCGAAAAAATTATAAGAGCAAAAACGGTTACAAAAGGGGGGAAATGGACATTGCAAAAGAATGCGATATCCACTTATCACAAATTTCATTGTACGAAATAACACGGTAATTTCTTTACAAGACCCAAACGAAATATCTTACCTACATATAAAGTTAACATAATTGCATTAGATTCCCAAAGCCACATACAAATTTAAGATCCCCATCATGTATTCGTCCTTTTAGTTCCTTATCCTTTCCTTCAATTATTTGAAAAATGAATTTAGAAAAGAATTACCTCTATTGCAACTTCAACAACGTCTTACCAGACCATCAATTTGGCTTTCAAACCCATTATTCCACCAATTATCAACTCCTCAGAGTTACAGATTTCATTACTTCATGTCTCGAGCAGAAACGGTACGCGACTGGAGTGTAGACGTTTCACAAGCCTTCGACAAAGTATGACATGAGGGACAAATTAAAATTACTTTTACCAGGCCCATTATCTGATTATACAATCGTACCTTAAGGAGAGACATTTTGTAGTAAGCCAGGGTACGGAGACTTCTGAGATGAAAGAAGTGCTTGCAGGTGTGTCACAAGGGTCAATACTCGCTCCGCTGTTGTGGGCAATTTTTACTTCTGATATGCCCACAAATGAGAATGCACTTACTGCAGATGCACCGCCATATTAACAAGTCACCTCACTTCTACAAAAGTTTCACTTATATTACCAAACCATATGTCAGCAATTGAAAAATGGAGCAATCTTTGGAAAATAAAGTTTAACCTCTCCAAGTCACAATATATCTCCTTTACACTCCGCCGGGAAACTTGTCCTAGCATATATTTATTCAATGAACCTGTTCCTCAATTCGACAAAGTTAACTAATTAGGACTTACACTGATAGAAGACTAACTTGGAATCCAAAACACGATTAAAAAAACAGACACCCAACAAAAGACTTAAAATGATTTATTACCTACTTAACCGACAATCAAAATTACCATTTAAATCAACTTTCGACATACACATACATCCTGAAACCTATTTGGATGTACGTGTGCAAAGTTTACGGATCGATCAAATATTCAAAGATTACAAAGTTTTCAATCCACAGTTTTAAGATTAATTTTTTTGCCTCCTTTTAACCAAGTTGTTTGTTGTAACACACTACACAGAGATCTTCACATGCCAACAGTTTTTCAAAACATATTAAAGACGTTTTCATACTAAATTAGAAAATCGCACTAACACTCAAATTCGGTTATTCCCCACAAATATCACATAAATGACTGAAAATAATATGGATAAGAGACCTCTTAAATGAGTAATATCATTTTATTAATCCAGTGCTGCTGTCAATGGGTAGTTTTATCTATAACATCCGTAATGCCACAATCATAAATTGAAATGCAATCTGCTGATTGCATATAATACATGTACAGTTGTAGATAAAAATAAAAGGAATTAAAAAAAAAATTCATTAGATTTAGTGTCCGATTGACCAAATAACATCTTTCAATTAATTAATCTTTAATCTAACCAAGATATTGGTCGAGATAAAAAAAAGTCAGTGTCACGAGCGGGATTCGTACCCACGACCTTCGGCTAAATACGCCGCTACTCTACTACTTGAGCTATCGTGACTTCGATCTACTAGGACACCAACTTCCCATGTCAACCCAACCTTTCGAATTTTCCCTCCTTTTTGCCATTAAAAAAAAAAAATTCACAGTAAAGGATTATGTGCAATATTGCGCACGGTAATATGCGATAATAACACGGATTTGTTGCGTACCTACAGAAGTCCATTGATACCGGTTTCTTGTAGCGTTGGTAATACAGACAGGTTTTATTTTACCCCGTTCAATTTCTTACGTTTTCTTCTCTGTTTTCTCCCCCATAAATTTTGTTATATGGCAGTGCTTTCTTCAAACTTGTACACTTTGATGCAACGGCACAACGTTCTGGCCACAACTGCCAAGTAGGCGAAGAAGTTTTCTTCAAAAGTTCTCACACGTTGCCATCGTCTTGACCGAACCGTAAATTCCAAGTGTTAATTGCCCCTTTTGATCAGATTACTCGTGTGGCAACGATCACTATCTCTGCTGGAGTTTTCATTACCCCCCCCCCCTTAACTAACCTCTACTTTTTATCATTAATCCTTATATTTCCTGTAAATATTATTCTCAAAGTCAATAGTTTTAGTTCATGACTTATTATTTACATGATGTTTTCTCTTTTATTTCAAGATTTAAAACGAAGTTTTCTTTTAAAATTTTGGTGGGCGGAATGTTTACACCAAGGCCAATCTTACTGAAGGGAGTAGGTCTCCCTAACTCCTTAATTTTTCAAATCATCAATTTAATTTTTTTCACCTCTCTTGTACATATGTGTTTTCATACCTCCCGTCCTAGAATATCTAGTTTTAACCCTCATGTTCGACCCGTTTGCTTTACCCTCGAAACTCCAACACCTAGCTCACGAGAGAGCAACAATACATTACTTTCATTTAAATTCCTTCAACTTCCGTCTTTCCTTATTCTTTTTTGGTTCCTCTATCCTTCCTTTCAACATTCGATGGACAGTCAGCTGAAATTGAGTCCTCAAACCTCCCCCCCTCCGTACGGCGAATGGAAGATCAACTTCCTCCTCAATCACACATGCAGACTACTAAAGTAGTCTTTATTTTCACTTTTTATTTTCATTTTTCTTCCTAACTTGCCTGAACAGGGAGCAAATTGCTCTATTGGTAATTACTTTGGCCATTCAGGCCTCCCGTTTTATAAATTGGGAAATCTATCGATTTGGCAAAGCTCGGGAGCATACCATTGCTCAGATGGGGCAAATAAGTATTTAATATTTCTGGCGAGTTTTTTTTAAAAACATTCACTGATTATTCTGTCCAAACCAGGGGCTTCGTTGTTTTCCCACTCTTTCTAAGTTAAGTCAAAGTATGGATAACTTCTGCGATTACTTAATATTATATCCTCCTTGTTTATATCGAATAAACTAAAGTTGTGGAGTGTTTTATTTCGGGGAATCCTACTTTCCCAAATCGAGTTGACAAAATCAGTTATTTTGTTTTGTTCCTTAACAGGAAAACGATATTAATAACCGAAGATGGGATTGGCGAACAATTCTTTCGGAAGGAACTGAAAATACGTAAGCCACCAATCAATTGCAAAACGGAAAATTTGACACGATCGGCAGCCATTTCGTTAATAAAAATCTTTTATAGAACGATAGGTATAGTTTTTGACAAATCACATTTTTAGCTTTTCTAATTAGCTTAATTACCCCCAAAGCTCAGGTCTCACGTACACACGTTAAACAAAACATCTTCTGGAAATCTTTTTAATGACACACGTGCATATGTAAGATTACACAATGAAATCACATTTTCTTCGTTTATTTTTAAAACGATTCGTTAAAGAAGCAGTCATTAAGAGTTTCCCTCTTCTTCAGAAACAATTCCTTGGCAGCGAATTAACTTGCCTCTCTCTCGGAGCTCTAATAAGCGAGGTGATCTTCTCCAAATTGGAAAGAGAAAATTGAAAGCAATAAGTAAGATAGTTCCTTTTCATTATTCTGAAAGCTTAAGTTAAGAGAGTCTGCTGAAAACGGCAGAAGATTGGCAATTTTATCAAAACCTCTCTTGGTAAACACTTTAATGTGAAAAGTCATAGGTCATTCGTTTATTACAAAAACAAAACAATTTCCTTGTTATATAAATAAAAATGTTTTACAGTGATTCTGACGTTTATCAACTGCTGGGACGTCGGTTGGGCGACGAAGGTTCAGGATATCTTCACGTACGCCAAGCTGCTAGCGCTCTTCATCATCATATCGACTGGTTTCTATCAGCTGTATCAAGGTGAGATAGAAATTTTCCCCAAAAATTTAATAAAGTTGTCTTCCATTCAACCAAATACGAGTCCTGAAACGCCTTCAGTACCCTTGCGTTGCGAAAGCCCTTCCGCCCTTATTGTAGGACAGACCCCTCGCAGGAAATTGCGCAATCTTTTGTTAGTCGAAGTCCCCCTACAAATTATTTTGCGTGTAAATTCCACCTTTTAGATTATGAAATGACCTAAAACTTACGTTAAAAAAATACTTTTTTCATTTTCTGTCTCCTTGTTGAACAGGACCTACAAGAATAGTTGAATATGTAGTGTACACACTTCGAATTTATAATCAATTTTTTATATTTACTTTTATTTTATCACTTTTAAGGTATATTTTCGCCGAAGAAGGGATTGAGACACCAAGAGTATATGTAATCTTAATTTCATTACACAATTTATCAAGCATTGTGTTACTTAATACTTTTCCATGCATTAATTGCATAAGTTTTCATGCTCATCAATCAGCTTACTACTATTACCCCTTTATTCCATGATTGTTGGTGATATTAAATTCTCATTCTTTTTTTGGATATTAAATACATGGTAACTTTTTTTTTAACAATACAAGCAATTCTCTGTAACCTGAGATATTTGAATCAATCTCCCTTGGTAAATATTTCGCCGATTCTTATTTCTTTTCTCGTTAGGCTTGAGGCAAGTTTAACGCAAGGATGAAGATTATAAATTATTGCTGATAATGAAAGATCAATCTGCACGGAGTTGGCTCAAGATTATTACTTATCTACAACACCAGGGCTTTCTGAAAAGACTGCTGGGGTTGATGGAGGGGGATTATGGATTGAGATGTCATGTCGAAGCACCTTTCGGGGATGTCCCTGTGTTGGCAGAATTAATGTAAGAGGAAAGATAGGCGTGGGATTACCAGCCCGGGTTAGCGACACTAAACGCATACTACTGGTCAGCAAAGCGTAAGTAATCTTTTTTTACGCAACGACTCGTTTATATATACTAGGCGGTGTAGAGCGGGGTCAGTCATGAGGTGCGCGTTGTGCGTTTTCGCGCTGTGCCTTTGGACGGTACGAGGTGAAGATCGGGAAAAGCGTACGATAGGCTTCCTTTTTCGCGGACTTGTGGATGCAGCGGCAAACCAGAGGTACGCGACGGCCGCCATCGTTGCCAACCAAGGGTATACCACCTCTCCGGTGTCGATAACTACTTCTGAACCGGAGGCGAGGACTACTACGCCGAAACCGGAACGATTGCGCCAGCAGGCACCCAGGCCGATGATCTACATAATCCCGGTGACTAACAAATCATCCCAAAGCAGCGATATCCAGAACCTCGCTGAGGTTCTCAAATATGTGAAAGGGCCGCTTAAGATAAAAGACGAAAATGGTTCCGACCCAGATCTGAATGCGCTCATTCAAGCGACAAAACACTTATCTGTGGATAAAAGAAACGTTGCATTGAAAGATCAGGAGGACAAAAATGACGATTCCGAAAAAAAGGAAGAGAAGAAAAACTTTGTGATTAAAATCCAAGCACCTCGAGAATCGAACCATTCGAAAGAATTCAGCATTCGAATAGTCGGCGATGATGTTAAAGTGAAGAAAAGTAAAGATGGTTACACAGTCGGGTTCTCTCTACCCGATTCGAAAGCAAACATAAGAATAGAATACCCCGAAAAACAGTTTGAAAAACAAGAACAAGCTCCATTGCAACAAGTTCCACAACAGCGAGCCACTCAGCAACCGAATTTGCCGTACAGATTTGACCAGTTCGGTTTCCTGGGATTTCCTCAGAATCCAAATTTTCAACCAACGAGCCTGTCCCAATTCTCTTCCCTGGCGCAACAATTCAACCGGCTGTACCCTTCGACGGCGAGTCAACAATTCGACCAGCCGTCAACTGGGAACCAGCAGTTTAATCAACAGTTCTCGCCGGCGGCGAGCCAACAATTCAGCCAGCCCTTCACCCCTTCCGTGAATCAGCAGTTCAATCAGCTTTATCCGCCGACGACGAATCAACAATTCCCATCCTTCCAACAGCAATACCCCCAACAGTTCAACCAGCAGTATCAAGACGTGTTCAAAACCGACCCCTATAGGCAGTTAGGACTGGACCAGTTCGGACAGAACCAAATCGGATCATATCCCTACGATCAATCCGTCGCAAAATCGGACCATATCGCATGTACCACGAGTCACGAGCGAACCTCCTCCCAGAACTGCACCGTAGCCTGAATCAACGATCCTAGCTTATTTATTTTTGAAGAATAAATATTTATTTATGATTTTTTTATGTGGAAAGTTAAGTTTCACTTTACCTCTTTCTTAAAACCGCTTTCTAGCTTGTGAAAGCAATTTTCATTAACGTGGACGATGGCACTATAACGAATTACAGCCCTGACAAGGTATAATCAGGATTACACATGTTCAACAAGCGTTTATGCTGTTTTGAAAAGATTTAATATACTTGCCATTTCTAAACAATGGTTTAATTGGTTTAATTTTTAAACAAATGATCACAATGTTATGGAGAAAAAATACAGTATCATAATTTGTTATTTGTAGTAAAGTTATCTAGTGTCAAAGCCTGCATTATACTCAATATTGCATATTGTTGACATTTTGCTCTAAGTTCTAGTTGTTCTGCGTCATGGAAATAAACTTATTGAAATCTGCCTCAATCTAGATTTTCACTGGATGAACATATGTAGGGGTTGGTAGGTTTAGTAACATTTCCAGTACCACGGTGGTCCTCATGAGTTCATGGAACTCCGGCGAGACATCTTTTAAATTACTTTAGCGCTTTTCTTGTCCTTGTAAAGATTTGTAAGCGTAAACAACCTTCATTAGAAAACTTTTCAAAATTTATTGCAGAGCTGCTTTTCTGTACTCCTTTTGCGGGTATACAACAGTATAATTTGTATATCTGTAGGGAACTAACTATTGATATATAAATCATTTTAATTATAATATCAAAGTCTCTTATTTTATTCATCTTCCAGAGCAGCAACTTTTATTGGAAAACCAATTGACTAATGATTTACTTTGAGATATGTATGGCGGTAAATGTAAGTTGCTGTTAAAAAGTTCTAAATATGATAAAAATATCAAAAAATCAAAATTATTGATATTTAAGTATGTAAAGAGTTTTTATCAAAGTTTATTTGGAGGGGTCCAAAATGTAAGATCTTTGTTTTAGTGTTGCGTTTTGTGCTCCTTCAAATAAGGTAAATCGGTACGATTTGATTTTCCTATCCGCTCCTCAGCTATTCCCCAGTTTCCAAGATTTTTCTGCTTTGGAAGAATTAATTAAATATAGCACGTTATTAATATATAATAATACATGTTCGAATTCCTCGAAGTCTTCGCGTGGGGATCGTCCTTCCATGTATGCTTCGATTATTGAGCACATGTTTTAAAATTTTTAGGCGAGGTCAAGTATTTTACATTTGATAACACGAAAACGGAGGTGACTTCGCTGGCACTTTCCTTTTACTCAGGACTTTTCGCTTACAACGGCTGGTATGGATTATTTTTCCCTGATTTTTTTTTTTAAATTGTATTTGTTTAAACTATTTACAATATTGCGATTTCAGGAATTACTTAAATTTTATCATTGAAGAATTGAAGGATCCGATAAGGTAAAAAACTTTTATTTTTACTTTATCCGCTTATTTGTTGAATATTAATCGATTGCCGCAAAACAGAGATAGTTTCAATGTATCTCTTTTGACACAACAAAAGTTTCTACGCTCTTATAACAATATTTCTATATAAAAATAGTTTTGTGAGATTTCTGTGTGTGGTTTGCGGGGTGAGTAATTTGAAATTTGGTCGTTACCGATGCTCAATGTATCGGTCTGTCAAACGCGTTTTAGCATTTCGCCATCTTCAGAGTTGGGTCTGTGCGATTTCTGTCATGTCAAGTCTCTTTTATAATACCGTGATATAAACTTTTTATTTAATAGCGTTCAAGAAATTTCTAGAGACTTTAATGTTGCAACCGTTGTGATTTATTCTATGAAAGTACTTGATTGTTCGAAGAAGTTGCAAATAAATTAAATGAATTTGAAAGAAACGTGTTAAAATTCGATTAAGAATTTAATAATGTTTACGTGTAAGACTTGTCACGACTAAGTTTGATGTATATATTGTTTAATTGTCTTAATGAATTTACCATGACTTAAACGGCCTAACCTCAAATTCTTCGGAAGAATATATTTTTTTTGTAATATCCAAGTCAGTAGTTATACCTAATCAGTATATAATTGTAATTATCGGCTATGTGAACATCAATATATAGACAGCTAAACTTTTAACAAATTACTAATATTGTCTTCATCTTAATCCATTGGTCTGTGTATGAATTTGGGAAATGATTGTGCAGTTACAGACACATATATGTAATATTAATAATAATAATCTATTAGGTTTCGTGGTCCGATTGACCAAATAAATTCTTGTCAATTAATTAATCTTATATTAAGGTTTTGGTTGAGATAAAAATGTCAGTGACACGAGCGGGATTCGAACCCACGACCTTCGGCTAGATACGCCGCTTTTCTACCACTTGAGCTGTCGTGACTTCGATCCACTCGGACACCAACTTCCCGCCTCAACCCTACCTTTTGAATTTTCCCTCCTTTTTGTCATTTATCAAAAGGTTCACCCAAACCTTAATTAAAGATTAATTAATTGAAAAGAATTTATTTGATCAATCGGACCACGAAACCTAATAGATGTAATAAGCAAAATGAAGTATACTTCACTAAAACTCTCCGTGGCCATTTCATTTGTCGCCGAGAATCAAATAGATTACACGACACTTGAAAAATTGCAAAAAGGAAGGAAAATTCAAAAAAGGTGGGGTTGAGATGGGAAGTTGGTGTCCGAGTGGATCGAGGTCACGATAGCTCAAGTGGTTGAGAAGCGGCGTATCTAGCCGAAGGTCGTGGGTTCGAATCCCGCTCGTGACACTGACTTTTTATGTCAACCAAAACTTAATTAAAGATTAATTGATTGAAAATACTAATAATAAAGCGACTGTTAGAGCACTTTAACTGTCGCTACTACACATTGCTAGAATCATAAAGAAATGATTAAAAATCGCCTAGAAAGGTTGGAGAAATACCCCACTCAGGATTTTGTTCCTCAAATGAAAAAATAATAACCACAACAGTAATAATAATTGATGGATTCTGCCATAAATTTTGTGCTTGGAAAAGAAGAGGAAAGAGGATTCGCCTTCTCTGTGTCGAAATCCATGTACGGTTATATTTTGCAGGCCGAGGAGGGCGCAGAGCCTTCCGCATCTCAGGATGAGGGTGCTGCGTTTAGAAGCGTATAGTTGGCGAGATTCTTAGGTCTCACGTATGATCAAAAGTTAAAATGGCAGCTACACGTAGACGACGTCGACGTGAAGGGGTCTCTTCAGGTGGGGAACGGTCATGGAGACCCTCCTGAAAATGTTTGACTCGCTGCTCTGCACGACCTTATTTTATGGTTGCATGGCCTATACTTCAGCCCGAAAAACCCGCCTGCATTAGCTCGATAGGCTCCACTGTGGCCAAACTCTGATGCGAGTTGAGGTGCTACTGGATTTAGGGGCCACCTCTTACCCACCTCTCCCCAACTTCCAATGTCCAATTCACATTCTCCCATGCGAATTGAAGCCTGGCTTTTATTTAAGGGGTGGTAAGAAGAGGTCCACGAGCCTGGTGCCAGGCCCTGAGGTTATTTTCATTGAGCCTCATTCTTACAGTCCTTGAGAAAAGCGAAACATTTCAGACTTTATCTCATTTCTCATAATGCTGCGTTTTCGTAGAGCCTGATGACGGAAGAATCTATCGTCTCCTTCGTCTATAGTCCTAGGTCGACCTGGCCTTCTAATGTTACATAGAAAGATAATGGATTTAATTTCTAAATAACTTCAGTGGTGGGTTAAATTTATCCATCAGTGTATATATCTAACATTTTTCTGTGTCGAAAATTCTACCAGAATGACACTATACTCTCTATTCCTCTCAATGGGCTCAATGGTAAAGCTCTTGTTAAAACAATACTTTCTCGAACCCCTTTTACTTTTAGTAGTTATGTTTCAGTCATAGCATAGTCAGAATTCATCAAATGCCAATCTACGAAAAATTCACTAACATTGCAGTGTGCTCAGAGTCAGCTTCTATATGAAATAAATTAATGTGTAAATTTAATATTTATGGTAATAAAAAGTGGGACAGTGTTTTAAATAATTCATCATTTGAAATGGAAAGTGTTAAAATGTATTAAATTCCTCCCTTATCAAATGCTTCCCCTCTCATACCATCCTTGTCACTTTCACCATGACGAACATCACGTTTTACACGACGCTGTCGCCCAGGAACTCTTGGAATCAAGCAGTGGCTGTGGTAAGCGTGTAAAATATTTAGCTTTTTTTTGCGTGACTCAGAAAATCGACTATCTTAAAATATGTCTATAATGGGAGTAGGATTAACCTAAAGGCGGCTCCAAACATGCGGTATTCGCCGAATGCCGATTGCTGCCGAACATTTGGTAAGTCTCGAGATGCTCGTCTTGCCACTCGCCAAATAGCATGCCTATGTATATACAAAAGTGGGGTTCGTACAACCAGCCAGTTTGTGCGGAAACAGCGAATACGTATTTGCCAAGCGCCGTGCCAATACCCAACGTACAACCCCAATAATACCCAATCGTCATGGAAAACAGTGAAACTGTCATTGCTGCAGCTGCGGTTACTTTTTTTTGTAGTGGCTACCCTCAGTCACAAATCAATCACAGAGTACCGTTGCCCTATCTTACTTTCGATCCGTTTCCACTCACCGTAAACCTCGTTCCGATTTTTGTGATTCGGAAGAGAAGCGTTACGAATTGGTCTAGATCTATGGACTCCAAGACTCATGTTGAACCGGCACAGGGTCACTTACTGGGTCTGTCACCACTCGCGGTTTTTAAATTTAGCGTAAGTCGGAATTAAATTCTTAGGAGAGGCATTGTTTGTTAAGCCAAATGTTAGCAATAGTGTTGTAAAGTTGTTAGTTTATATAAATAATTTTTATGTAACGTAGCCTGGCTAGCCCTGTTAGAGTCGATGATGGGTTTTAGTCTGCGAAACTGCACAACATTATTGCTAATATTTAATTTAACAAACAATGCCACATTTATAGTTTAACATCGACTTACGCTATGCGTAAACCCGCGAGTGGAGACAGTCACAGTTAGTGACCCTGTGCCGGTTGCCGGATCGGTTTGCCGACTCACAGTCCAAAACCCATCATCTCTAACTCCCAGATTATGTTGGGCCAATCCATTCCTAACCTACAGAAACAGCGCTATGATCTTCTTTCATTATACATCTCTACTTGTTATGAATCGTTTATTATTGAAAAGTAAACGCAGTGTTGATTGATGATTACAGTTGATATCCGTACAGTTCAGTTGACTCCCGAATGTGTGGTTGCTTTGAGTTCGGCTCCTTCACGAATATTTGTGCTCTTTGAAGCGAACAAGGAAACCGACAATTAGCCAAGCATGGCGAACACCGAATATTGTTGCTCGGCCAATAACCGAGCACCCATCCCCGGGATTCCGTATGACTGGAGCAACCTAAGTTGTACTGTGTTGCATTTAGCATGCACGTTTTCAATACCAAGAAAGCGATTCCCTCGTCCAGCCTAAAACCTATTCCTTTTTATATTTTCTCATTCACCTATGGTTGGTTTTCATCGCGAAAAGGCCTAAGGTTCCCTTATTCGTTTACGTCCAATTTTGTATTCTTTATAGTGAAATTAATAGTATTTTTAAAAACTGTTTCATTTTACGTAAAACATAACTTAATAAATACAGCATTATTTCTGATGACAATGTTGATAGTTTGGCTCTGTATAATACCTTATGAAATATTGATGTCCACACCCCGATAAGGAAAAAAGCTTGGTTTTTATAATATATCTGAGATCCTTATGCTACTGATTTGGCAGTCGGTTTGCGTTAACGTCAAACTTAACATGTATGTTTTGCTAAATCTGTAAATCTTTTACTGCAGGAATCTTCCGAGGGCGATCGCCATTTCCTGTACCCTTGTCACTTTCGTTTACACCATGACGAACATCGCGTTTTACACGACCCTCTCGCCCCAGGAAGTCTTAGAATCTGAAGCAGTGGCAGTGGTAAGTTTGGAAAAAATTTACCTTTTTTGGGTGACTCAGAAAATTGACTATCTTGAAATTTGTCTATAATAAGACTAGAGCGAAACTTAAGTAAATTATACTGTACAAGATTATGTACTGCTCTAGCGATAGTTTGATCTATTTATAAGCATACTGTTGCTTGTGGAGTGGTTATTATTTTTTTCCAAAATGAATCCTTTTTATAAATGATTTTCTTTATCTATTTTAAGAGAAAGGATGTAAGACTAATTGGTCTGTATGATTTTGGTACAGTAGGATATTTTCCCATCCTTTGATATAAAGACCATTCCTACTTCTCTACAGAAGAGTGGTATATATTCTGGGGTATAACTTGCTCTGAATACCTAACTCTATTTCCCTAGATCCTAGGGGGAAGGAGGGTAGGAAATATGCCATTGAAACTATGTAGATCTTTAAATTGAAAGATATGACATATTCTTGAAAAGATCTTGTTAAAATGACTGGCCATTTTTTTCAATCATCATATTTAATATGTATATTTTTTTAATAATCATAAAAGATTATTGATATGTACTAATCATCCAAAATTAACCCTTCTGCTAAGGAAAAGCCACAATAACGATGGGGCGTCAGTGGCCGCTAGGAAAAATTGAGGTGTTTATGATGCAAGATTAAATAATCTTACGTTCAGCCAGAAACAATATCCACAAAACAAATACTAATATTGCGGTTGACAATCATATTTATAAAATGTAATTTAATAGTTTACTTAAAAATTGAATCTAAATTTTTTTATTGTACGCCAATAAAATGGAACTAATTGATTGATTACATAAATTGTGGCATTAATTTAAATGAAATTTTAGACATACGCCAACAGGCTCTTTGGGATGTTTGCCTGGACGATTCCCTTATTCGTAGCCATGTCTACTTTCGGCGCAGTCAACGGTATCCTTTTGACATCGTCGAGGTAAAAGAAAATCGTTTATTTTATAGTTATATATCTTAACTTTTTTTATTTTTCCAGGCTGTTCTATGCCGGTGCGTGCGAAGGGCAAATGCCGGAAATACTCACCATGATCCAGATCTCCAGGCTAACCCCTGCACCGGCTGTGCTCTGCATTGTGAGTACAGAATTTGACAGAATACACGAAACAACTCTACATGAAATTTTGACATTTTCAGGCCTTATTGTCAATGCTGTACTTGACCGTCTCGGATATCTATGCTCTCATCAACTATGTCGGATTTGCAACTTGGGTAAGTTTTTGGTATTTACAAACCTGGTTTCACCAACATTGAAGTACTTGTTTAACATTTTATTCAGATCATTGAGGTTATTATGATTTATAATTAGGCAATCTTTATTATTTGCTTGAATAATTTAAAAAAGGCAACTAAGTTTTTTTTAAACTGAGACCTTTGAAAGAAATAAAAGGATGAAAGGAGAGGACCAAGTTTTCAGGGTGGCTATTTTCAAATAAAATAAGAAAAAAATAATTTAAATCCATACAATTAATTATATTCATGAATTATTTACAGCTAAATAAAAGTTTTCCCTTTGGCATAACAATTAAAATTTTTTTTCCTGCTGTCCTCCCGAGAAATCCTGTAATGATCCCCCTACAGTCAAGCGTGCCTTCCATTTTAAATTAAATTTTATTATTTATTTATTAAATTTTATTAGTCTATTCTTTTTTTATAGCTTAGCATTGGTGTTTCTGTCCTGTGCATTCCTGTGCTGAGGTGGACGCAGCCCAATCTTGCAAGGCCGATCAAAGTGAATCTCTTCTTTCCCATTGCCTACATCGCAGCGACCATCTTTGTAACCGTTGTGCCCATGGTGGCGAGTCCTGTTGAAACTGGTGCGCCTCAGATATCGTACATTTTGATTTGATTATTAACAAATTATATTCCAGGGATCGGCTGCCTGATGATTTTAACCAGCGTGCCCGTTTATTTAGTATTCATCTCTTGGAAAAACAAGCCTATCTTTTTCAACAAAGTAGTTGGTAAGTTCCATATTACAACATGAAACAATCGTTTAACAAAATTACATGTTGGTACAAAGTTTTGTGCACTTGCTTGGTAACCAATCAAAATTGAACAATTTCTCTTTCTCTTGCATTATACATTTATTTATATAGATATTTTTAAAAATATCTTTTTTTATTTTTTTTTATATAAAATATGAGTTTTATTTTATTTTTTGTTTTAATGTGGATTTTATTTTTTATAATTTTTTTTAAAGGTAATTTAACACATTTGTTGCAAAAGATGACCATGTCAGTTCGACCTGGTGTAAAGGTATTTATTTTTTAAATTATTATTTTATTTTAAAAGTTTATTTGTTATAATTAACATTAATAATGCTATGCTGAAATCTTTTCAAAATAATTTGTTATTTTGCTGTATGATTCTGATCTTTAAACAGCCAAACCACTATTAATGGTAGAATTAAAACAGTTTAACATAAAATCAGAGGCTAATTAAGGTTTTCTTTTATAACTTAAAAAAAATCTTTTAAAAAATCATTTGAGAATAGTGCTTTAGTTTGATCATCTCTCCTATTCTCGATAGTTTGGTCTGCTGGACATCTATATGGCATTTTGCATTTAGTGGTTTGTCTGTTATTTGGGCAGTAGTGACTACAAAGCCGTTAATTATTTTCAACTGTTTCAGTAAATGCGACAAGATTGCTACAGAAAGTGTTGATGGTGGTCGGGAAGCAAGGGCCAGCATCCGATGTTTGATCGAAGAGTTCCTTTTCATGATGTGCCAAAAACTTTTGTTCTCTTATTTGTTTAAAACCATATCCATAAATGTTTTGCATGAGAGGTTTTCATTTTTAAGTCTGAGACAATACAATTTAAATTATAGAAACTGATATTAGCGGTGTTTTTCGAGCAAAAATGTTGAAATTATTAGTATAAGTCTAGACAAAAGAATGTATTCAGCCGTATCATTTCAGAATGATATTGGACGAAGTAAACTTGCTCGCTAATAAAATATAAATCCTGTGATATAAAATAATATTTAAAACTGACAGGCTTCCCATATCTGTATTATTAGCTATCTTTTAAGGTAAGTAAAAAATTTCTTTTCTAGAAATTTACCGCTTTGTTGTCTGTCTGCACACAGGAACAAAGTAGCCTAGAAAAAATGTTTAACTATTAAGTGAGTCAAAAAATAAATAAAAAGACATTTTTACTGACATATCAGGATGCTTTTTCCTTTTCATTATTGTTTTAATCCCATAAATATTTTTTTGTCAGGGACCATTTTGAATTTCTGTCTATTTGTGTTCACAAATATTGAGCGCATTTCAAAAAAGTCTGAGACAGAAAAATACTTTTTAAGCCGAAAAAGGTACTATTAATGATTAATACAATTTTTGTTTGGAAAATAGACTCACATAAAAAATAAAAACGAAGACAATATTCTTGACTTTGTAAAGATGCTATTTTTGTGGAAAATAACAGTTGTAACAAATAGCATTTTTTAAACTAAATATTTAGCCTAGGTGACTATTTTGCCAAAGAGATCTCCAAAAAGTTTAAGCACGATTTAATTTGTAATTACCGAGGATATGCCTACCATGGCCAATGTAATAGTAATAAAAATTATTATTAAAATTTATGATATTCAAAATGTTTTTCATTTGTAACATCATGAACTGTGATTGCTATTTAATTTTTGTTGTGTGTCTTACATGGTCTGTCATACAATGTCATACAATTTTAACAATGCAGAACAGTATTGATGGTTTATTTGAAAATGTATGTAAACATAGATGAATATGTTAAACAAATTTGTAGCAAAATCAAAAATTTGTATGTACATACATGAAACAAAATAAAAAGGATTCAGAGAAATTCAGATAACATTTTCTTTATAACCATTTATTTTAAAGAACAACAGAAAAATGTCAAAATTATATTTTTTAACTTAAAAAAATAAATAAGTATATGGTAGAAAATAACTACAGGAAAATGCTTCTTCTTCTTAAATCTTTATAAATAGCATCATTTAAAAAATTAATAATAAAAAAATTTAGTGGTTTGCTATGGAAGTTTTCAATTAAAATTAAGCATAAGCCAAATAAATCTGATATTCGTAGTTCCTGTGAGTCCTAGTCTTCTATCTATCCCTGTCAGAAAATATCCTTCTCGAAATATTATTGTCCATTATTGAAAATTCCAATACTTTTACTGATATCAGATTTTGTGCATTTCACTTAACAAATCAACAGATGCATCATGCTGCTGACAATATTGCCTCTTACCTTTAACAAAAATTTGGGTGTCTTTTTTGATCAAGTTGGAACTGTCTTGCTTTGGAAACTGAAGAACATCCTCCCTCAGGCTTACTATTTCATACTGAGTTAATATTTAATGGACCAATTTTGCTGAGTCTGCTGAGAACTGAATTTTCACCTTATGTATTCATTAGTGCAGGTGTTCCTCAAGGAAGCATTCTTAGCTCATTTTGATTTTCAATATACACTGCAGATATTCCTACACATGTTAACATTTCAATACATACATTTGCTGATGATAATTATTCTTATACATAATTTCACAAAATGAAGAATGAAAATAATCCTAACAAAAAAATATAGATAAATTTTACTACGTGTAAAAGTTTCTGTCTCAGTGAGAAAAAATGGAACCCCATTACCTACCACTGACTTTGTCCATTATCTAGGAATTTTACATAGTTAAGCGACTGCATGGCATTAACAACTAAAGCAAAATTTTAATTAACAAAATAATAATAAGACCTGTCGTACATATAGTTGTGAAATGTGGGGCTTAACCAAGGATTAAAATTTCCATAATCTCCAATCTATTCAGTGGAAAATTCTCCATCCAATTATAAACGTTCCTTTTTATGTTTCAAATCATACTATTCATCACTAACTTCACATCCCGTTTGTACATAACCTCAGCAAAACCTGATATAAAAAAATCACCAATCTACAATAATCGACTAGTATGACATTTATCACTTTCAACCCCTACCAGAAAATCTTCCATTATGATTTAAGTAAAATCTTCTCACTGAGTAATGACTAGGTTTCAGTGTGAAAGAGTGTTGTCACTGGGCAACCCCCTTCAAGTCACTCAAATGACTTAACCAGCATATATATAAAATATTTATGTAATACAATAGTTGTAGTTATAAATAACAAATTAATAAGAAAAGAAAGTAAATTCAATTTTCAAAGCTGTAAATTGAAAATTAAATTAAACCCAGGATTTGTACTATCATTTTTCCTGGGTTTGCTAACCTAAACAAGATCAAGCGATACACCAAAATATATTTGGTTTTCTCTGTGGTTTGTAGGTTTGTAGGACAAAAGAAAAAAAACACAAAAACAAACAATTTCTGATTATTATTTTTTAATAAATGGAAACATTTAATAATTGATTGATGTACAAAGATATTTGATATCAAATCCATTCATTCAAGTCATGATGTGCTCTGGCATGCACCTTCATTTTATTGCAAAAACTTCCAAAATAACAACACTAAATATGTCCACTAAATGGTAACTACATTACCTTTGAAATACTGATCAGGCCAGATACTAATCAAATAACTGACCGTTTACTTCTCATTTGCAAATTGTATGAAATTATTATTGAAATAGGATCAATTATAATAGGCTGACTAGAAACTGGGACTTCATTGCTGAATATTTTTCAGATTTAAAAAATAAATAGAACAATTTCATTTAACATTAGGCCAAGTTTGAAACTTGAAGACAAAACCACTAAAAATCTACAGCATATATTAACAATTGAAATCAACAATTTACACTCATATGTTTTTCTTTCTTAAAAATTCTCTGACTTAATATATTCCGTCCAATTTAAAACACATGCAATTAAAAATATATAATATATTTCTGTTTTATTCTAAGAAATTCAACTATTAAAAAATTACAAATTATAACAATCACTGTTTTCAAGCTTATGTACATTATTAACATTAAAACTTACATCAATTAATTATCAAAAAACAATATACAAGGCGTATATTATATGAATTTGTAATTTTTAAAATTTATTCTTCAAAATATTCCAATTTTTTTATAACGACTTTTTCTAATTATATTTACAAAAACTATAAAAAGGAATCTTTTTCTTTACTGCAAGTTTTGCTAATATTTATTTACAAAACTATGCTCCCTTTAAATGATAATTTATCTTTTGTTTACATTTATTAGTAAAAGAAATCTAATAAAACCAATTAAAGGGGGAAAATTGTGCTCAATCAACATTGTCAAGCAGCTACTTAATGAGCAAAACATTTACACCAACTATTGCTATTTTTTTTAAACCACTTATTTTTTATGTCAATAGCGCCTAGCTAAAAAATTATTCCAACATGTATAGCCTTCTTAAATTCGAACATTAATATTGAGGCGGAGGTTCTCTGCTTTTTTTATTTTTTATTGATGCTTTTAAAATAAAAGCCAATATTAATAATGCAACTGGGAATGTGATGTTTAAAAAAAATAATTCCTTCATTTGATAATATATGAAAGCTTTTGTGAGTTGCGAAATTGGAAATAGTTCAAAACTAAACCACATAGCAATTGTAGCTGCTTAAAAGTTGGCAATTATTTTTATTAACTTATGAAAAATAATTATTAAAATAATATTCAACAGTGTTTATAAAAGTATAAAAATATAATAAAACAGCTAGCATGGACAATCTTCAAATTTACATTTGTAGTTCATCATTTTATATCACTGAAAATCAAATCTTTCTTATTGTCAAACAAAATTCCTTAACGAACATAAATTTTGAATTAATTAAAAGTGATAAAGGTTCTAACTTAAATACTGTAAACAATATAAGCTCTTCAGATAAACTGGTAAAATATGTGATAAAATGTTAAATATTCAAAATTTTAACACAATATCAGGAAAGAACGATTATATAAATATTTGTTAGGTAATAGACAGTTTTAACCTTGTCAATTATACATATTTTGTTTTTATACCTCACAATTCATTTGTTTTAGTAGGTCATTGATTTACAACAAAACACAATGTTACATAACGCTAGGTGCACATATGCAATTTTTAGTTGCACAACAATTTTGACAAGGTTCGATTTGTTATCTACTGAAGTGCACACATTTAAGCAATTTTTAGATACTAAATGGAAGAAAGACTTTTCTTGTCATTCTTCCGAACAATTACTGCCTGCTTTCATAGCACACGAAGGAATTGTGCAATCGTTTAGTTGCAGTGAGTGCGATCACCTTTCTTTCACTCTGTGTCATGCTGGTGAGTTGCATACAGTTGCGCAACTGTTCAGTTTGTGACAAAATGCAAGCTATCTAGTTGGTCGGACTTATAATTGCATGCTAAAGGAAGTGTGTGCGCTTTCATACAAACCCTTTGCACGAACTCCTGGTATGAAATTGTTGCACAACTAAAAATTGCATGTGTGCGCCGAGCCTAACTGCGGACTTGCCAGACGTTTTTAAACAGTTACCTATGCCAATGATCTGCATTAAAAAAACAACTTATAAACAAATTTACAAAAGTTTTGAATTTAAAAAGATTTTAATCTTTTATCAATTGCCTTTGTGTCAGAAAATAGAGCAGAGACGACTTTTTGCCTTTTGGTGAGGGATTGGCTTTATCTCTTCAGCCTTTGGAGTTTTTACACCATCATCACTCCTGTAAAATTATTTTATAAATTTCAAATATCATTACATACATATTTAAGACATTCCAATTTTATAATAATAATCACTACTAAAAATGACATACTTTTCTTCTGATTGAGAACTTGCTGATCTGCTGTATAACGAACGACTTATTCTCGTTTTAACAGATTTACCGAGTGCTCGATTTTTCCTTAGACTTGTGAATCTGCCCATTGTTGTGCCATTAACTCTTCGCTGTCCTTGTTGCACACTTTCAGGCTCACTTTGCTAAACATTTAATAATCAGTATGTAATATTTTTTCAATTATTTGTTGAGAATTACCTTTTTGTCACAGTTGAGTGTCGTTACGGTGAACTCAATATCTTTTGTGCCTTGATCTGCTGAAAACTCTTCAATAGGTTTTTCAATGGTGTCATGATCAATCCATGTCAGACCCATTTCAACTTTCTCGGCCAAATCCTGCCAATGCTGCCGGTTTTCGAGTGTGCCTTGATAAAGGGGCATTATCCAAGGAAACGTATCTGATAGGACCTAACAGCAAATAAATCAAAATCTTATGTTAATTAAGTTTAAGATTTGGATGTACTAAATTTGCATTTATAGTTAGAACAAGAGTACCAAGGAAATCGCGAAAGCATCATCCTTCCAACTGATTTATACTTTGAGGTTCATACTATTAAAAGGTAATTTTTGAAAGAAGAAAAAACTATTTATCCTTTTTTGGTGCCTTCAAAATAACTTAAAAAATATATATTCTTTAATACTTTTTCTATAGAAATAACATAGTCAGATGAATTCCATGGTGTAGCACTTATTTTTTTTTACTGTTATGGTAACTAATCTGAGAAATAAAATGTATTTCTACGCTATTATTTTCTCCATAATTGATTGCTGATCTCTCTGTTAAACCTCTACAATCTTTCGATTAATATTTTAAGAACGTACCTAATTTTTTCTATGTTTTAACTGTCTGTCAATGTCGTACAATTTTAACAATCCGGAACAATTGATGGTTTATTTGTAAAATTGGAAGTTAACAAATATGAATATTATGTTTGACAAATTGTCAAAAATTTGCATGTAACATAGATGTAATAAAATAAAGAGACTGCAGAGAAATACAGATAACATTTTCTTTATCATAAATTTTCAAGCACAATAATAGAAAAGTTCAAATTTATAATCTTTTACATAACTACAGGAAATCTGTTTCTTCTTCTTTCATCTTTTTAAAAGGCATCAATTAAAAAAAATCATATTAAACAAATCGAAGATAACTTCCATTTTCAAAGCTGTAAATTAAAATAAACCCAGGATTTGTACTATTATTTCTCATGGGTTTGTTAACCAAACAAGATTAATGGAGAAAAAAATTCTTAACGTTATTTTTTAATACATAATAAATAAAAATAATTTTGTAAAAATTCAAAAGGTAAGGTTGAGATGGGAAGTTAGTGTCCGAATGGATCAAAGTCATGATAGATCAAGTGGTTGAGTAGCGGCGTATTTAGCCTAAGATCGAGGGTTCCAATCCTGCTCGTGACTCTGACTTTTTTATCTTAACTAAAAACCTTAATTAATTGAAAGATATTAATTGGTCAAGCGGTCCACGAAAACTAGTGAATTTAATAAGTAAAATGAAGTATATCTTCACTAAAGCTCTCCGTGGCCATTTCATTTGTCGCCGAGAATCGAATCCTGATTACACAACATTTGAAAAATGGCAAAAAGGAAGGAAAATTCGAAAGGTAGGAGTTGGTGTCCGAGTGGATCGAATTCACGATAGATCAAGTGGTAGAGTAGCGGCGTATTTAGCCGAATGTCGTGGGTTCGAATCCCGCTTGTGACACTGACTTTTTTTATCCCAACTAAAAACCTTAATTAATTGTTCAAGATGTTAATTGGTCAAACGGATCACGAAAACTAGTGAATTACGCAGAAAACAAACACTTTGAGTGAGTAGGAATACTTTGACTGAATATAAAATTTTTTTTTGCAATTGAATAAATTCACTTTTTTCCACATCCTACATGTATTTGTTAAATTTAAATAATGTTTGTAAATCCCAGGCCCTGAAGATTGAAACGTTGGCACGATAAAGAAAATGTTTTTCAAAAACCTTTTTCACACCAGACCGCATCTCACGATCTCCGAATAATCATTCACTAACGGTCACTAATCACCACAAATAAACATAATAAAAAAAACAGTAAAAAAATAAATATACCAAAAAATTTGGTTTTGCTACACAAATAATACATTTTTTAAAATAAAAAATATATATTAGACATTTTATTATAACATATTTATTAGAAATTTGGGTTGTCCGGAAATGTATCATGCTTTCTTTTAATTACCCCTCTATATAATAAACTGTTTACATTTGATGAATTATTCTTTTTGTACGAATGTCAACACTTTTTAATTTTCTCCCAAACAATAATATTTGTTTACCTCTGTACATTTTGTTACTTGGGATTCCGTATTCGCAAAGATGCCCGCGTGTGATTTTCACGTAATTTCGTTTTACGAGTTTAAACTCGGTCGGAACGGAGCCCAAAAGCCAGAAACAATAATGAAGTGTAGGGGGATGGCAATGTGAGTTAGGGCAATTTCGAGAGGTGAATTTTAGCCTTGAAGACAGAGAAAATCATGTAAGGATTTCTTCCCTAGATGATGACGTTCTGCGAGTTTTGGTCCTAGAATAACTGTTCGAGAACTTGCAGAGAATCTTTCAGTTAGCAAATCTACCGTCGCTGGCTATCTTAAGGCAATTGGAAAGGTAAAAATGCTCGAAAGTCGTGTTCCTCATGCATTAAACGACCGAAAAACATATCGTTATGAAGTTTGCGCAACAGTTCTTTGCCGAAACAGAAACAAACCATTTCTGGGTAGAATTGTTACTTGTGATGAAAAGTGGATTCACAACGATGCGTTTCTGTGTAGTGTTGGTGAGCGTGTCCTTGGACGTATCTCCCACAGCCGACGTGCCCGCATATCCGGATTCACAACGATAAAAGCAGACGTTCTGGACAGTGCCTGTAAAAAGGAGAAACCTCCACATTTTCCAAAGCCTCCAACCCACCAAAAAAGGTGATGGTCAACTCTTTGGTGGGCTTCATTTTCATCACTAAAGCTTCATGAATCCTGGCGAAACAATCAATGCAGAAATGTATTGTTCTCAGATTGAAATACACCAGAAATTAGCATTACTGAAGCCAACTTTGGTCGGACAGAAAAGGCCGATTATGTTACACGACAATGCTCGGCCCCAGTCTCACTTGTGACAATACAAAAACTGTTGGTTATAAGGACTGCCTCACCGTCCATATTCTCCAGACCTCTCCCCTTCAGACTACCCACTTGGACAACGTTTTACAACATAAACAATTTATTGATCAAAAATCGTTAGGAACAATTTAATCAATTTGTTAACAATAAAGACTCAATATCCAGAAGGTATAGTGAAGTTGTCCGTCACGTTGTGAGAAGTGTATTGAGAGTGATGGAAGATATCTTAATTGATAAAAAATGTTTAAAATCATTTATTTTATTTTTTTATTTTATATCGACAAATCTGTATTATTTTCTGGACAACCCAATAGCATGTTGATTACACCTTAAAAATGGCCGGACTAGTCATGTCCATATGACATGCGAAATACTGAAATGTGTCTGACAAACCACAGACCAAAGTAGCAAGGATAGTCGGACGGGCATAATCAAAAACACCAAACTACAACTTCATCAACCCATAGACCTCAACCAGAAACCAGAAGTCTAACAAAGATTTATTAGGGGTGTAGGTAGCTGCCAGCGATGACTAATCACTAGATGTAGCCCAGGTTTGAATCTCAGCAGGCTAAATTCGACAGAATACATAATACCAAATGGGCTTTTTGCAGAGAAAAACTGGAAGAGCACCGGAACTCCGAGGTTGTTAGAAAAAAAAGTACTCTAAAAAAGTCGTTAAGCATTGTTTTAGTTTAGAATGCAAACAACTAAATGCTAAGATTAAATTTTTTGTGCATTGAAATGTTTATAAACTCCCCTTTTCAAATAACAGTTTAAACATGAGGTGTTTCTTCAATAATTTCAGTAAATAATTTGCATAATACTTTATAACATTCACCTTATAGAGTGGAAGACAAATAACATCGATGAAACCAACTTGCATTTGTGGCAGTTCATCTTTTCTTTCTCTGTCCATCATTGCCTGAAAACAAATCGCATCATAAGCAGTTATTGAGGTGTGACCCTAATTTTGCACGTACAACTGGCTGAGTGTTAAGCTGGAGCTTTTCCAGATCGCCCTGGTCAAAAAATTCATCGGCGACTAGCTTGGCCACTTTGTGTTGGACTTCCCACGGCTTCGCTATCGCTCCCACATCACAACCCGTCATCATCATGCCGCACAACACTGAAATCAAATTACAATTTATATGTCTGGAAATGAACCGGGTATTTTATATTTCATTTACGTTCTTTTTTCCCCTCGCTCTGCCAGTCGAATTCGCCCTCATCAATCAGCTGAAGAAAACTATTTTTCTTCTTAAAGTACATTGCTAAATCCGTTGAGAGGATCGAGTGCTCGACTACTTTCATCACCGTCCTATAATCTTCCGGAGATAAAGCCTGAAAAAGGTATATAAATCAATAAAAAAAAGAAAGAAAAAACACGAAACTTTACCTGGAATATGTTGTTTCCCTCGCTGTTTAGAATCATGACACACTGGTCGAAATGGTGGTGCTCCATAGTGCTCGTGGTGTAGAGGATCGCAAGAGGTGACTCGGTCTTGGTTTGAAAGGCGTTGTTCGTGCCCCTATGGTCAAGATCGTGACACAAACACGCCACTAAAAGCCCTAAAATCTAAAAAAAAAAAATCATGACAAACAACCTCATTGAACTATCATTGCCTAAAGGTACCTCGAGATCAGTCATGAACCTCTCCATTTTCCCAGTTTTCAGCATGGCGAACATGGTTTGAGCCACGTTTAGCGCATGCCTCCAGTTGTGGTATTTGACAGGACGGTAGTTCTTCTTCACACTCAGAACCCACCTGCAGAGAACCTTTAAAAGAGTATTTATTATTTGAGCTGTTACTGTTTAGGTCAAACGAAACTATTTATTGTTGCTTTTGACAGATAAATATGTAAATTTTGTTGTCCAGGGATTCCTCCAGGGGGAGAAGAATAACGACCCTCAACTTTTATAAAACTAGTTCCACTTTTTGCCCAACCAACCTTATACGTGCTATTCACCAACCCTAGAAGACTAACTATTTTTGGAATCGAGTGTCATCACTATCGTATTCTTAACTACTGGGTTAGCAGAACATGGTATAACATCGGTAGCGAGAGAAACAAGCAAACCGAGGAAACGAAGAATCATTCTGCCCCGAGGCTTCATCGTGACAGGACCTCATACCTTTTTTTTGTTTTCGTTGCGTCAATATTCTTTTTCTTTTTCAAATTGTTTCCTTTTTCTATTTTCTTATAATATACCCTTTATAGAACGTCTATATCCCCACCATACCAAATTTTTTATAGGATTTATCATCCCTAACATCTTAAAAATCAAACTAATTTGTTCACAAAATTGTTGAAAACATATTTAATATTTTTTTGAATTCCCTGTTACAGCGGGGTTGTACAATGCAAAAAATAGGATTTGCATAATAAACATGTCATATAAAAATACAATCCTAAAGAGAAATTTAATTATGACAAACCTACTGCATGCCACTGAAGGTTCAATGGCAAATGAATATAGTAATTGTATAATTCACAAAATACTTACGTCATATGGTATATGATACTGGTCGACTAGATTGCATTCTAGGAACATTCTGATTGTCGCTCTGCAAGTATCTTCATCGGTGAGGTCAAAATCAATGAACGTAAAGCTGCATAGAATGTTTTCTTCAATTGTTAGGTTATTTTTTGTGAAAAAGAGGAACAACTTACCTAAATAAATTGTAGGCTTCCGCCGAAGGAATGGTATCTTTGTATAACTTAGCAGTGTCATCTAGGGAAGCTGTTGCGTGGTACGAGAGGCACTCGAGGGCCACTTTTTGTTTTGCCATTAATTTGCCTGAAAAATACCAATCACCAATAATTTGTTATTCAATTCCAGAGGAATTTTAACAAAAAAAGGTTTTTAAAATCTTTTTATTAAGAATTAGCATTTAGTTATTGTTTAATTACTTTTTGTGCCATGAAAAATGTAACAGCCAAAACAGTGTACTAAGGACCTCGCTTCCTATAGAACCAAAATTTTTCGAAAAGTGCGAATGAAAAATGTCCCATGCACTCGTTTATTGTGCCCCTATTGTTCGCCAGAAATATTTCATATGCGGGAAGCGAACAGATCCAAAATTAGAGTTGATGTTGGGTATTGATCTGCGAGTCGGTGAACTCATGTTTAACCGAAACAGGGCCACTTACTGGGTCTGTCTCCAATTGCGCGTTTTTGGAGTTATTCAAATGCGTTTTGGCACTGCGCCATCTTCAGTGAGGAACTGTGTGCTCTTTGCATGAGTAGGGCATTGGGTCCAAGTGTAAGACCATACCCACTAACGCAACGCCCCCAGCGACAAGCGATGGACCCAATACTATATAAAGTGACAGACAGTTCCTCACTGAAGATGTCGCAACGCCGAAACGCGTTTGAATATCTCAAGAAAAAAAATCTTTCCTGCGAATTGAACGAGTTCTTATTAAACCACGATGGACTACTAAAAATTAATTCTTTTGGTCCAGGATTATATTTATATACTTTATATATATATATA